AATTAATTATAACCAAAAAAATAAAAAATCAGGACTTGTTTGTTTATTAGCGAATTGTGAGTTAAGTTAGCAAATTAAACCTTATTAACAGGTTTGGCCAATTAAATTTGCCAATTAACTTGTTTTGTAACGAAGTTATTTGATTAGTCTTTTGTACCAAAGAGATGGAATAAAAGATTAAAAAGAAAGGACCAAAAAAAGACAATAGAACATAACACCTATAAATTTTTCGTTATTAACCGTACGCTCACTTGACAAACTCGCTAATTGAATGTTGTATATTTTTAAACCAGCTAACACAATTTGCTATCTGTAATTAGTTATTCGCTACTTATCAAAAAAGGTCTACTTATATTTACTAAATCTAACTGATAACCAACTATAACTCATAATATAGTTTTGAGTTGACAGCTGATAGTTTATCACTAGAAAAGCTAAACTAATGTAATAAAAATATTTGGTAAAATTAGTTGATAAGTCAGTCGAAATAAAATCGACATACCCTAATTTGATCGGAATATTGTTGGATAAGTACATCGGCATATTGCTCCGGCGAGTACTGGCGGCTGGTGGAGTAATATTGCGGCATGAAGTAATTGTTGAGATAGTCGTTGCTTCCGATTCCGATCGAATATATGCATTGACTTAAGTAGTTTGCGGCCGAGTCCTCGTCGCCGAGTATGTCGACAACTTGTGAAACCGTGGTCTTGTAGTTGTTTACTTGTCCGGTGAAATCAATTCTAGCACCCTAATGACAGTGTTAGTCAACATTGATGTTACTAAGTTCTTGTCTATTGATGTTGAGAAATAGTTTTTTTTTTTTTTTTCTTCTTACAAGTTGTTGTCCGGTTTCTTGTCGGATTCCGGCGGCCGCCGACGCGTAATTTACTCCCCGGAGTATTTGTTGCCCGCTCGCGCTTGAGTACGGAGGAATGTAATCGTCGAAGCCTAAAAGCTCAGCTGCAAAAATGTGTAAAACATTGATTAGTTTCTCAAGTTCAAATTCGATCACTTGGCAAGAAAGATTTCCGAAAGAAGGAATTGCGTTGCGCTTTATTCGAATCGAGTTGTTCGCAAACACAACTCAGTTCGACTTCTGAAAGCTCGATCTCAGAACAACTAAACAAGTTAAGTCAAGTTCATACGCAAATAACTCATTTATTTTTTAATGTTTGTATAGGTTTCGAACAAACAATTGAGTTGAGCTTTCACAAGCTTAATTAAACTAGTCGAGCTGAGTCGGGCCTCGAACACAAAGTACTCAGCTCAACTCATCTCAGCTCGAATAACACCTCTAGTTGGCATAGACGTCATCATTCTTCATATGCTACTACTAATTAACAATTGTTTTTATTTATTTATGTTAGTGAAAAGCTAACAAGAAAAGTAAGGATAGAGTTTGCAATTATATAGGTTAGTACTATTTTGTAAGTGCTTATTATATATACATACCAATTACATCGACTGTAGTCTTGCCGTTGGAAAATCTACCGGTGGGCCCATCCTCAAAATCGATGCCATAAGGCAAGTAATTGGCTCGAGCCAAGGATTGAATGTTGTTGTTATTGCCATTGTCCACTAATGAGTCGCCGAATATGAAGTAGCACGGCACTTGAGGCTGCGCCTTAATCGCCACCGTTGATAGGGCCATCGCTACCAAAAACAAAACCGACCATTTTTCAAACCCAATGCCCATCATTGTGTATATATATAGATATATATATTCCAAATCCAATGTAGGTGTAATAGTAGAGGAAATTATTATAATTGTAAAGGGAATGTGGAAAATGATAAAGGGAAAGATCAGAATGTGATTCAATTTAAGGCATTGAGTTACGGGTATATATATATTTGAAATTTTGGGATGAAAATGGTTTAAAAATATTGGAATTTGACATTATTTTTTGGGATAATATTTGAACAGATATGCAGTTAGATGGGTGCATTTAATTTCACGCGGCTATAATTTGTGGGTGAATGTGACATGTTCTGTATTAATTTCATGCTGGTTTATATTATATTATACTGGAAAGTTCATAATTGAACAAAAGTTACCTCGCTTATGACATAAGAAAAGTGTTGGACAAAATGGAGAAAGTGTGTCAAATTTATTTGCAGATGTGTCTAATGGTTAGGACTTAGGAGTCAATAGTTTTATAATAAATTTACATACTTTCAAATTCAAATGTTGTACTTTGAAGTACAATATAAACATAAGTATGATATTGTATAATCTGCCTAACGATATCAAACTTGGTAGTATTCATGTGGGTAATGAAGATCATGTAGATAATCAATGATGATAGCAATAAAATAATTCAACACACGTACCTCTGCAGCTCTGCTAGGCTTGTCATGGATTCGTATGTTTGTTTTGATAAAAGATTGATTAATTTCATTGTAATCTACTCGTATTTACGGATACCATTTTATATTCGAAGCTGTGTAATCGTGTCGGGGTTAATTACAGTTCTTCCGTATTCTATTTGTCTATTTGATATAAATAATTCTCTAAAATAATTCTCCATTTCTACCTGGGAATACAGTCCAAATAAAAATAAAATAAAATAATAATAGCAGGCTACAAGTTATTAGTCGAATGACAGTTGACTTAATGCCATGCAGCTAGCCAAAAACTACTGCATTCAATGTCCATAGACCAAGTCTTGGGCCAAAAATAATAAATAATTAAATTATGAGGCGAATTAATCATTAAAACATAACAAAAGCATATTTATTTCAAGCAAGGTCATAGTTTTGTTTATGTTTTTTTTAGAATATGAAATTTCAATTTAAATTATGCATTGGAAAAATATGAATATCCAATATAAATGTCCAACCGTAGTCTGTCTACATGCAATCTTACTTAAATTNCAAAATATAATTGACTAATTAGGTACCATTTATTGCACATGTGATTTTAGGTTTGGCGCTGCTTGTCCAATTAAATCAGGCAGTTGGGGAGCGCATTTTCTAGTAAATGATTTTGCTTTTTTCCATCACATAAGTCATAATAAGTCAATCTCTTGTTTGCAGATTGTAAGTTGTCACTCACTTTTACACACATGCGGGCCAATGCGTGTGTGTGATGTGAATGCTGATAGGACAGCAAAACGAGACTTTAGTGGACTTGATCACAATGCACTCACTGTTGATGCCAATCTTTGATGTAAGAACACAGATAAACACTAACACCATCTTTATCCTTTTACTCTCTTCTTTATAGTTTGAGTTACATTTTACTTTATATATTATTTATTTTTATTTTAAATAAATTATAATATATATTTATATTTAATTTTATATAATTTTTTTATTCATGTGTTTCGTAGATTTTTAAATGATTCGAATTTTAATCATGTTGTATTTGTTTATGTACTTTATGATTTATGTGTGGTAAATTTTCATTAATGAAATCTTGTTTTATTGTTGGATATTTTTATCCATATTGTACTATGATATTAAACAAAAATTTGCAAAATAAATTTATAATACATCACTAAATAAAAAGCATAAAATTATTTAACATAATAAAGACATTTACTAATACACATTATAAGTTATTTATCAAAATTGTATTAAATTACACAAAAAAATAAAAATAAAAATAAAAATTGTAGAGATGTGCTGCAGTGTTGCGCCAGAACAGACGCGCAACACTGTTCATAAATCTAAAATAGCATCATGGGTTGTCCCCACTCTAGCGCAAATCACCACATCTGCCGATGGGTTGGAGGTGATCTAACTTAAGTTTTTTTTTATTTTTTTTTTATTTTTTTATTTTTTTTTATTTTTATCTTGATTTCCGAGTGTCTAACTTGGAATCGGGTAGGTTGATCCATGTCACGATTCTTGATGGCCTACTAATTTCTTTATTCCGACACATCAATTTGCGTTTATTTGTCGACTCATGCTAAGATGATCAATAGTAACATCCACAGAAACACAAAACATCATAGAGATTTGACTTCGTGTAAGATCCAGAAAGATAGCATCAAAGAAGAAAATTGAGATTGTTCGGAGTAAAGTGTCCAGGCGGGCTTTCTCCAGTACTCAAATGAAGTACAAAGGGTAATTGTACAGTGACAGAACTTGGAGAATGCCTGGCCGAATCTTTTTGGTGCTATGTATTCACTTTCAGTTCAGGGAATAAGAAAGCATAACTATGGACAGCAGGAAAAAACCATCATGAGAAAATTCAAATTGTCCTCATATTGCCCCTGCACGGTTAACAGCTCTGAATTCTACTTTTAACAGCTCTAAAAAGGCTGAAGGGAAGAAAATCAGCAATAGGCTTCAAATGAGCCACAGTAGAGAGATAAATACCAATTTCTTTGAAGACCCTTTGACATGCTTATCAAAATCTCACAGTCTAATATGGAAAGCCTCTGCTTTAAACTAAAAGCTGGGAACTTTGGCTTGTTCACCAATACAAGCAGCATCATAAACTCGCATATGATAATTTATACGCCATGAAAGCGCCGTAAAATAAGAATACTCAGCGTTATTTTTACAACTCTTCGTTAGTCAAAGATTAAAAAATTCATCCTATAAACAGCAGAAACAAAAACTAAAAATGCATTTCAACTCTCAAAGTAGAACAACAGCTTAGCTACTAAAAATGCAAATTTTGTTGTTTGATCTGCCTTAACAACTGCTTCTAAGTTTACAATCCTAACCCTCGACTAAATTTCCATTCACAAGTCGGTTTTAGAAGAACCTGAGGAATATTGAAAGGCAATGTCCTTAACAACTTGTATCAAGCCCTTGAGATCATCAGAACCCAACTCAAGGCAGTCTATCAGCAAACCACCCTCCAAAACTTCTTGCTGCAAAACTTCCACAGCTTCGCGCAATGGCCCCTGCAAATTTTCAATCGACACGATTGAAACAGTGATTAACAGGATAATAGGAAATGCAAGAAACAATAACACAAGTTTTAACCATTTTCATCACCAATCCCTCAAACACCATTTAAGCAATCAAAAGATCTAATTTTTTCTATCAATCATAGGTAAGACACTAAACCCTAAGAAACTAAAAGCAAGAACACAAAAACAGCTACACATACGGATTGACGGAAAACAGTGAGCAGCCGAGCAAAGATCGACTTCGAGACACCAAGGGCTTTTTTGTAATTCCGACCGATCCAAGCGACCCTCTCCGCGTCCGAGTCGATCCGGTTCAGCTCGTACAGAGCTCCCAGCAGCTCGTTCAGATCCGACATTAAGCCGCCTAGGGTTCGAAACGACGCCGCGTCACCCCACGCGTAATTCCTCACATAGTTCCACCCCACGTTCCAAGCGAACATGTAGAAGCCCAGGCCCGTGAAGCGCTCGATATTTCGGGCCAGCGTCCTGGCCCGCTCCGCGCCGACGAAATCGCCGCGGGCGAGGCGGAGGGTGGCGACGCGGGAAATCAGGGAGTGCGAGAGGGAAAATAGAGATTGATAGTTGGAAAAGAAGGCGGCGTGCGAGAGAGGAGAAGAAATTAGGAGTAGAGAGAGCAGAAGAAGAGACGGAGGAGCAGCCGTCATCGGTGTGTTCGCGGCGGAGATTTTGAGGAAAATTTACAATTGTACGGACTAGGGAAATGTCAAATTAATTTAGGGATTTAACTTGTTGGAGAGAAATGTTAAATTAATTTAGCGTTTATTGATAAAATTAAATAAAATTTATATTAATTTAAATATCTCATTAATTAATTTTGAGAAAAATTTAGCCTAGAATCTATATTTCGTATCTTCTTATTTCATAATTTAGATCAAGTTTTTATTTCTTAGATAAATTAGTTCTTAGTTTAATTTATTAATTTATAATCATCATCCAATTTATTAGTCTAAATATTATTTAGTTGTCATTATTTTAATACTTAATTAATTTAACTACAATTTCTGTGGAATACGACCTTTCTCACCATTATCTATAGCTACGCCGTACACTTACGGATAGTGAAAATAATTAGAGAACAATCTCGAGATGGCTCGGATGACTCGACTCGGGATGGCTCAGAGTAATAGTCGCGGACAATGGCTCGGATGGCTCGACAATACTCGGGTGGCTCGTCTTCCCAAACTTTGCATAATGGACATATTCAACACTAAAGAGACAAGAAAATACGTCAAAACACAAAAACACATGACAAAAGAAAAAATACACGAAACAGACAAAATAGACCGATCTACACTAAAACGAAACTAAAAATACTCGACTAAAGCACATAAAACACATGAAAAACACCACAAAAACATAATAAACACTTTAAAGCTATGATCTTTATCATTTTATCTTTTGTCCTTATCTGGAGACTGCTTAGGCCATCACCTTATTTTTTCTTCTTTAGATACACTTCTTAACGTTGTCAAGCTCCTCGACTTTCTCTTTCCAAAACCAACTAAATACCATGATTGATAACTTTTCAATCTTCCAAACCATTTCCTTTGCCTCAATTCCTTTAGCTTCGCGCTGGCCTGCCGAGGTGACTGTCGCCGAAGGCGCTTAGGCCACTCTCTCTTCCTATCTCTGGTCCAGGTCACTCGACATATTCCTTTAACCGTATGATCGAGTACCGATCTTGAATACTTTAGACATGAGTTCAAGCTTCTTCGGTCCTGGGATATTCAGCGTCCAAAGACTGTGGATCCTTTCTCCAAGCCCCCCGAGGGCTTATACGTTCTATGCAACTAAGCATACGCCGATCTCACATTTCCATTAAAAAGTGAATTCTTAGAGCTATCTCAGCTCTACAGAGTCCCCTTAAACCACTTTTCTCTTAATGCCATTCATTTCATGGCGAATTATTGTATTATAAGCCGCTGCACACTTCATTCTTTCGATCCTAACTTTTTCTTTTATTGTTATTGGATGAAGCCTCAAAAGGGATCATTTTACCTTACTCGCCGCAATAATGCAAACTTCCTTGACAACCTTCATTCTAGCATCCCTGAATGGAAATATAAATAGTTTCTTGTGTGACCTCTCCTCGGGACCTTTGACTTCTCTCCCGAATAGATCCATGAGAAACCCGAACAACGTAAGTCCCCCCCAAGCCGAACCAGGCTTACAAAGACCTTATTACCGACTTGAAGAAAACCCATTACGACTTTGTCCTTCTTATCGATGATGGTGACCTGAGGTCACTCAATGGCTTATCTTAATTACCATGCTCTCGTATTTGTGACTTAAGTATTTTTTAACTATTGATGTTTTTTCCTCTTCATAAGNAAAAAAAAAAAAAAAAACAAGCAAATGGATTCATCCAACATTCTTTGAAGAGCAATTTGATATCATAGTTTGCAGAAGAAATGGATTTGTACACAATCCAATTGAGATTGACATGCTATCCCACAAAATGCGGAACTACATTGATCAACTTTTTTTTGGTCAAACGACAACTATATTAATAATTTAATAACTTAAAACCTAAAAGAGTACAATCAAGTTGTCAACGGACACCACTGGAACCAGAACAAAGTCTGGACAACCTCCTTTTAATTACTCAGGTGATCAAGGGGGTACAAACTCCAACAAGGAGACAAAAATAACTGCCAAACAAAATCAACATAAAGGAGACCCTAACTCCATATATGAGACTAGAACCAGATGTCGTTGGACTAAACAAAACGACAAATAAAGAAAGACAAAAACAAAACGACGCATACCTAATAAACAAATACAATAACATCTTCCATAAACCTAGCAGATAGACCGTACGAACATCCAAACCTACCACCGAGTCACACACCGCAACACAGAAGCCCAACACAACAGGGAATCGAGACCCTAAACCCAAAAGCTACAGCCAAACTTGAACCGCCTAGACAGATCTGGCGAAGAGACAATTCTCGGTATAGATTTGTGCTCCGATGGTCATCAACACTGGGGGGGGGGAAGGAGTCGCCACGAAAGCACTGACAAGCCACAACGGAGGGCTCGAAGACTAGGTCAAAGAAGAGACCACCTACAGCTGCGCGCTTCGTTGGACGCAGGGATGGAGGCACAAGAGACCAAACAAACTGACGGGCTAACAGACTCCCGAGGCTGGAGGATAGTCGCATCAGGTGGGCGACCTCAACCAACATCGACGAATTCTCTCACAGGGCACCGAGAGGGGCGAAAATGGGCCATCCAGCCTCGGCTCGGCCAATGCCAGCACGAAGGGCACAACAATCGGCCTAAAGGAGGAGGGGGGCAGCTGCGTTTCAAATGTGAATTTTTGGGTCGTAAGTGTTTTTTGAAACAAAGAGAGAAAATTGTTGGGAAAGATACAATCCTCTTAACTTAATGAACTTAATTAGTGAAATTTCGTAATAAATGTGCACCTCTTTGTATTCTATAAACTAACTTCGTCTGTTTATAAATAAATATTATATTTCGTCTATGTTAAAAAAAAAGGCTTAATTGCCTATAAAATCTTGACCTTTAATGGAATTGCAAATAAAACTCAAGTTTTTTATATTTGCAAATAAATACTCAACTCTTATTATGTGCTGCAAATTTGTCTCCAAATTATTTTCCGGCCAACCTGAGCTTACGTGTCCGGCCAACAAGCTTGCGTGGCACTTTTTCATCAGCTTGTGTTTGCCACATCATTGTTAGTGAAAAAAAAAAAATCAGTTGCCTTTAACATAAATGCCCCATTTCTTGCAAATTCGAACAATTGACCGACAAATTGAAAGTATGAATTCATCACAGCGAACAAAATCGCCTCTGTGAGAAAGAAATGGAAATGAGAAGCAATTTACTGACGCAAATAAATTATTTCAACGAGTCGTTGAATGTTGCTTGCTTGAAAAATTCCGTTTTTGCCCAATATATACAGAAGATAAAATTAGGGTTCTTGGTTAGTGTAATTTCAAGAATTGGAGAAATTTTTTTAATTAAAGAGCGACGATGAGGCGAAGGTTCGATGTAATTGACTCATTCTGTTCTTCTTTTTGCTCTTCTTTTTGCTTTTGCTGGAACTTTTGGCGTGCTAGATGAGAAAAAAAACAGGATAGAATAAGATGAGAGAAATACCTAATTCACCGAATGAGCAGGGGGGATTTTTTCTCTATAATGGGAGGTTCAAATTTCAGCAATCGTGGCACTTTCTTCAATATGCATGGTTGGCCGCGGTCGAAGGGGCGGCGGATGGTGGAGGAGGCAAGGTCCTCGGAGGGGGAGAGGAGCTGGTCGGCGAGGAGCCACTTCTTGGAGGAAGGGGCCGGGCGGTGTTGTTGGGGACGACGCACGCCGGCTCTCGCTCGCCGCCGATGCTGCCTTTTATGAGGCCGCCGCCGTTGTCCACTACCAGCACTAGGTTCGACATTTTTTTCTCTTTCTCCCCTTTTTTTTTCCTTTTAAAATTTGTGTTTGTTTCTCCAGTCCAGTGTTGTGAGTCGTGACTNAATTTCTCATAAAGTTTGAAGATTACTGGGCCTACCATAAAAGAATTTATTCCCCACTTTCTCACAGCCCCAATAAAACTCAATTTTTGTTGGGCCTTCAAGAATAAAAAAAGAGTAAATAAAAAGGAAATCTAGCAAATACGTACAGATTCTCAAAGATATTATTGGACCTTCACAGATGAGAATATCAGGGCTGGAAACCGACTCCTTAATTAATTAATAATTATTAAAAAGACCCATTCTTTTATTAAATTCCGAAAAGGGTCTCACCATTTTTCTAAATAAGTGTTTGTTTGCTTGGCCACCTGTGTCAGAAATCTTTGCATGGCGGAATAGTGAAGAAAAAGCTGTGTCCGATCAGAATCCCCAAAGGTTCTCAGTAAATCAGAAACAAAATTTTTTGCTTTATTAAAACCCTCTTCTCTCTCTCTCTCTCTCTCTCTCTTTCTATCTCTCTCTCTCCATTACTCCATAAGTGGGCTAGACAAATCTGCACTTGATTTTTTTTTTTTGGGTCTTTTATTCGCATCTTGACATTTTCGTGGCCACAGCCTTCGAAAAATATCCTCTCACCTTTTGTGTTTGCCAACTTGCACACACTCGTCTGTATGTGGGCTGTTGAAGAAACGTGTTTTAATGGCGAAACAGATTCGTGCCAGGTCTGAGTGAAAGAAAGATGTCAGCTTTTGAAGGAAAGAGCAATTTGGTGAGCCCCATTTCCCTCAATTTGTTTTATTTTGTGTATTGTTTGATGTTTGTGAAGTTATTGTAGGTGAATTTTTTTTTCCCCTGATTTTGATTTTCTGTTTGTTTTATTTATCTATTCATTTGTTTAACATTTCTGTTCTTTTGGCAAGCCATTTGGGATTCTCTTGTTGTTTCATGATTGTCTGGTAAATTTATTCATCTGGGCTTGTGCTAGTTTTGTGTTCTGTAACAATGTGTGGGGAATCATGATTGAATCACACTAAGCTAGAAATCTAAAGCCTAGTAAATATAGAAAGAAAACATTTGATGGGCATGTGATGTTTTTTAGTAAATATAGATCAGTATCTCGTTTCACTTGTGTGTGATGTGTGTGTAATCATCAGTGGTGATGAATTTTTATTGGAAGATTTAGCTGATCTTTTATGAAATCCATTCTCATAACTCATAAGTCATCCAATTAGCAAGATTCTTGACGAGTAAAAGTCTAAAAGAGTGCATCCTTTATAATTTTGGTTATAGCTTGCTTAAATCTGCCGCAGGACGAACTATTTAACACCAATAGGCTCAACAGCCCTTCAATCCCCACAAGCCGACTTGAAAGACTTCTAAGAGAACGTGAGCTGAGAAGATCCAACAGATCTTTCTACTTGAACGAGGAATCGAGAGAAAGTAATGGGGATTTGGACTTATTCGGGAACATAAACGAACTGCAACTACGTAATGGCGAGAGGGTTTCGCAAGATGAAAATTTACTATCCGAAGGGAATAATAATCCTTTAGCAAATAATTCGATTGATGTGTTGGAAAAACAGGACACTCAGGTACAGAAGCAGAGGTTACTCGTCGTGGCTAACCGTTTACCTGTTTCGGCTATTAGGAAGAGTGAGGATTCATGGTCGCTCGAGATTAGTGTTGGAGGTTTAGTTAGCGCACTTTTGGGTAAGCAAAATACTTAAAGTCTTGTGTCTTTATGCAGAGAGGGAAAAAGGAGTTTGGCCTTTTATGTTTGCCTATACTTTTGTGTGAATCTCTAGTTTTATGATTATCAGTTGTCATAATGTGTGTGCAACTAATTATGTAAAATGTTGGTCAATTTCTGGAGTGGACTAAAATCTTCATTCTGACTTCTGAAATCAAAGATAAGTATTGTTACAATTTATTCACAAAAAGCACGTTTTCTCTTGGCTGATTCAAGGGTAAACTGAATTTTCATCAACTTTTGGCATCTGCTACATATACCACTTCTTTTTCTGTTCATATCAAGCCATGTAATTAGTTCCAATTATGTCCATGAAAGGTATCAATGAGTTTGAAGCTAGATGGATTGGATGGGCTGGCGTGAATGTTCCGGATGAAATCGGACAGAGGACACTAACCGAAGCTTTAGCTGAAAAGGTATTTGAGCTGCATGATTCTCTTTTTTCTTTTTTTCTTTTTTTTTTCTTCAGCAATATGTGCTTGGAGACAATAAAAAATGATTTAAAAAATATTTAAATTTGAATGAAGATATGTGCTTGGATCGAGCACGTTGGCGACATGTGATCCATATAGCCGACCCCATTTAGTGGGTTTTAATGGCTTGCTGATGGATTGATTGATTTTTTTCTTCAGCAATATGTTTTTCTTTTTCAAAGCTTTGTCTTAAAATGATAAACTAACGGTTGACTCGTTTTGTTCAGAGGTGTATTCCCGTTTTCCTAGATGAAGAGATCGTTCACCAATATTACAATGGGTATTGTAACAACATACTTTGGCCTCTTTTCCACTATCTCGGCCTACCCCAAGAGGATCGTCTGGCTACAACTCGAAGCTTCCAATCTCAGTTTGCGGCTTATAAGGAAGCGAACCAAATGTTTGCTGACGTGGTAAACGAGCACTACAAAGAAGGTGATGTGGTATGGTGCCACGATTATCATCTCATGTTCTTACCAAAATGCCTCAAAGACCACAACTCGAAGATGAAAGTCGGCTGGTTTCTCCACACACCTTTCCCATCCTCCGAGATTCACCGAACCCTTCCCTCGAGATCCGAGCTCTTGAGATCTGTTCTTGCTGCAGATTTAGTCGGGTTTGTTTCGAATTTTTATTTATTAATTAGATGTTTCTCCTGATTTTTTATTATTTTAAATGAATAATGGCGTGCTTATTTGCTCAAAATGAGTTTTTTATGTTAACGAGGGTTAGTTCTTATTAGTGGAATTTTGAGTTCATATTAAAATAATATTTAAAATAAATTAATTAAAGTTGATTTGATGTAAAAGTAGGAGAGAAAATGATGTGAAGTGATTATCAGTTAAAAATTGTGAATTGTGAATGGATGAATAGAGAAATTAAAGTTGAAGCGATGTGTAAGAATGATTGGTTTGTATTATTTAATTATATGAGTAATATTAAGTATAGTGAAGTTGAGTTAGAGTTTGAATATGGATTAAATGTGAACCAGTGTTTGGTCATGCTTGCGACTGATTTGGGAAGGGCTTGTGATGTGTACAGTTTCCAATCGGTATAGATTCAGAACGGTTTATTCGGGCACTCGATCTTCCACAAGTGAAAGATCACATTAGAGAGTTGAAAGAGAGATTTGCAGGGAGGAAGGTGAATTATTATTGCATGTGAAGGACCAAATTTAAGTACTCATCTATGTTATTGGCTAATAATTGCATTTTATTAGTAGCTAATGGCTGCTAATGCATGTTTGTGATTAGGTAATGGTTGGTGTTGATCGTTTGGATATGATCAAAGGAATACCGCAAAAGATTTTGGCATTCGAAAAATTCCTTGAAGAAAATCCTATATGGCGTGACAAAGTGGTATTAGTGCAAATTGCTGTGCCAACTAGGACTGATGTTCCGGAGTGTAAGTATCGTTTTATCCTCATTTACACTTAGTTGAAAGTTTTCTTTTCGATGCTCTCTCTCTCTCTCTCTGTGTTTTCCTCGTGGGATTTTATAATCTTTTTTCCATTGCTTTTGTTTAATTTTTTTCTTTTTTTTAGATCAAAAGTTGTCATCTCAAGTTCACGAAATTGTTGGAAGGATTAATGGGAGATTTGGAAGCCTTACGGCCGTTCCAATACATCATTTAGTAAGATTTTCTGCTGCGTTGACTGGTGTTTGACTTTTTTTGCAGAGGGAACTTTTTCATTGACAAATATAATTCATACTAATAGTTGGTTTGTCTTTTCGTTTTGTTTTTCTGAAATAATTTCAAAAAAACTAAATCTGGAATCTATTTACTAAAGGGAAATCTTAAAAAATTAAATACATCACGTTGAAGTTCTTATTTGCGTAACGTTTCCTGTTCGTCTTGTATTTACAGGACAGGTCCCTTGATTTCCATGCATTATGTGCTCTATATGCTGTCACTGGTACACATTTTCATTTACCTTTTGTTTATCTTATTATTTTCTCTCTTTCATTGCTTGATCCAGAATGTATACACAGAGGAAATAATTCGTATTTTTTATTTTTTATTTTTTATTTTTTTTTTCAGATGTGGCTCTGGTTACATCATTAAGGGATGGAATGAATCTCGTGAGCTATGAATTCGTGGCATGCCAAGCTTCCAAAAAAGGGGTCCTCATTCTAAGTGAGGTTAGCTATTTCAAACTGCTTTAAATTAGTATTTTGACTTAAATTCGTTCACAACCAGCTTAATATATATATTTTTTTTCTCTCTTTGTTTTTTTTCTTGCCTCAGTTTGCAGGTGCAGCACAATCTCTCGGTGCAGGGGCAATATTGGTAAATCCTTGGAATGTTACAGAAGTAGCTGCTTCGATTGGTTATGCTCTAACTATGCCAGCTGATGAGAGAGAAAAACGACATCAGCACAATTTCACTCACGTTACTACTCACACATCCCAAGAATGGGCCGAGACTTTCGTAAGGTCTGTAATAATTTTCGTCAAACGGCTATTTTGAACAAGTCTTTTTCATGTTTAGCTTGCTTTAGTTTTAACACTTCATTTTTCCTCTTGTTTTTTTTTTTTTTATTTATTTTTTTATTTTTTTATTTTTTTTTATCTCTCTGTGTGTAGTGAGCTCAATGACACTGTTGTGGAGGCACAACTAAGGACTCGGCAAATTCCACCTCCACTTCCTAAACAAGAAGCAATCGAGCGTTATTTGTGTTCAAATAATCGCTTACTTATTCTGGTAACAAATAAATCTCCTGCAACTGAAAACATTTATTTCCATCATTTTTTTCCTATAACCTTTTCCCATAATCCCAAGTAACAAGAATTCTTAAGTCAAAACCACTAGCACTAAATGGAACTTAAAAATAATTTTACACTTGTAGATTCTGTTTTCTCATTGCTTCTTTTATTTTTGTTATCATTACTAATAATAATAATTTCACACAGGGATTTAATGCAACTCTAACCGGGCCAGTTGACACACAAGAGAGAAGAATCGACCAATTTAAAGAAATGGATCTTAAATTACATCCCGATCTTAAAGAACCTCTAAAGAAATTGTGTGACGACCCAAAAACCACGATTATCATCCTTAGTGGCAGCGATAGAAATGTTCTCGATGAGGTTATTTCTTTTTCTTTTTTTTTTTCTCACATAAAAATTCCCACTTTTTTTTTTACCCGACGCGTTTTTGCAGAACTTTGGAGAGTATAATCTATGGTTAGCGGCGGAGCACGGGATGTTCCTGCGCCGCACAACGGGTAATTGGATGACCACAATGCCAGAGAATCTCAACATGGATTGGGTCGACAGTGTAAAGGTGAGTTTATATTATTTACATGTCGAGATAACAAACTTTTGTGTCTATTTTTTCACTGCATTCTGTTTCCTTTCAGCATGTGTTTGAGTACTTTACCGAGCGGACCCCACGATCTCATTTCGAGCTTCGTGAGACCTCACTTGTGTGGAACTNGGAAGCTTCAATCGAAGGATCTGCTACAGCACCTGTGGACTGGCCCAATTTCAAATGCTTCGGTTGATGTCGTACAAGGAGCACGATCGGTTGAAGTTCGAGCAGTTGGAGTTACCAAAGTGAGTCTTTTAATTCTTTTATTTTGTTGATTTCTTTAACATTTTCTTTTTAAGTAAAGAACCAATTTTGAATTCGTGCCGAGTTCATCTTCAGGGTGCTGCAATCGACAGAATCCTAGGAGAAATTGTTCACCACTGTGATGTGAAAGCTCCAATTGATTATGTTTTGTGCATCGGACATTTTCTAACTAAGGTAAGCCAGTTGTTGTGTCTTCTTCTACCTAATTTTTTAAAATTACATAATAGGCTAAATTGTATTTTTAGTTCTGCTGCCAACCTTAGCAATTTTAGTCCTAAGATTCTAACATTTTTTGCGCCTTTTGGTTTTGTGATTTAATATTTTGATACAATTTCAGTTTCAGTCCTTTGAAATTTGCAACAAATTCAAAAATTTATATCTATGAATTTTTTATTAGCAATTTAAGTCTATAATTCAAAATTTTGTTGCAAAATATTAAATCACAGGACCAAAAGTTGGAACTTTGAGACTAAAATTGCTATGACGTTAAACTTAAAAATGCATTTTTCCATGAATAATATTACCTTTTGAGATCGGCAAGATTTGGTAAAAGTTGCAATTTTAATCCACTAGCTTTCGACATTTTCGTATTGCCCAACCGTTTTACCTTAACCATTAATTTCTCATTATGCAATTAATCGACATCATCCATTCTACCAAGAAGTTCCAACCAATAAGAACCTTGATGAACCTAAAAAAGCGACAAGGGCCCAACAAAAATTACTTATTAGATTTTCGAGAACCGGTTATAAGTTTTATCCAGATATGTTATGATCGCCAACTCATACTTGATACGATTTCGTTTTATTGGAATTGAGAGAATATCCCAAATCGACTTTTTTTCTTTCCGTGTCCGAAGGAACTTTCATGAACTACTAATGATTGTTATTTATTAATTTTTTTTATAGGATGAAGATATATACACATTCTTCGAGCCAGAGCTTCCTATGGGCCCACCAGCACCCACTGCTAGAGCCAAGGTAGCAAACTCTCCAAACAGATCCACCATGAGCCCAACTGGGCTTGGCCCATGCCGCAAGGCTCCTCGCATGATCCAAAGCCTGGATAGGAAGTCCAATAGTACTACTGTTATGGGGAATGGGAATTGGTGGTCTCAGATGCGTGAGAGAATGACAATGCACGAAGGGTCCTCGGTTCTTGACCTAAAAGGGGAGAACTATTTTTCGTGCGCGGTCGGAAGGAAACGGTCGAGCGCAAGGTATCTCATGGGCTCGTCGGCTGATGTTTTGTCGTTGTTGAAGGAGCTTGCTAGTGTCACCATGTAGGTTTGTTGTGCCCTAAGAATTATCAAACTATTTTGATGTTCTTCATTTTTTTTTTTTTAAATTTTATTTATCATTGTAGTTTGTATTAGTTTGTTTTTTGCATTGTTAA